CTTTAGTCGGTGAAATAAACTGTGGTACATGTAGACAAGGAAATATTATTCTGTAATTTAAAAAAATAAGTTATGAAGCCGTGAAAAAACGTGGAGGAACTTTCCAAGCAAATTACTGTGTGATAGAAGCCCATCTGAAAAGGCTATATATTATATAATTCCAACTATATAACATTCTGGAAAAGGCAAAACTACAAAGACAGTAAAAAGAGCAGTGGTTATCAGGGATTAGTACAGAGGGAGGGATGAACAGAGGATTTTTAAGGCAGTAAAAATACTCTGTACAATACTATAATGACACATGTCATTATACATTTGTCCAAACCAATAAAATGTCCAAGGCCAAGAGTGAACCCTAATGTGAACTGTGGATTTTGGGTGGTAATGATGTAATCATACGGGTTCATCCACTGTAGCGAAGGCACCACTCTGGTGAGTGTGTTGATGATGGGGGAGTCTGTGTGTGTGTGTATGTGGTGGCTGGGGGCGGGGGGTGTAAAAAAAAAAAAAATCCTGAATAATTATATCCTAATTCAAAAAGTTGAAATGACTTTATTCAGTAGCTTTCAGTTTGCTGGGAAATTAAGCTCTGAAATGATAATTTGTCCTGTGCACCTCCTCCCCTCCCAAGTTGGCACAGAAACAGTTGAGTTTGAAGCAGAGCTGCTTTATTTTAGCGTTAGGTATCTTCATGTTTTGGAATCTTGGTATGCAGGCTCATCCAATGACAGAGGTCTTTGTAGTGTGATTGCGTGCAGGGGGCCTCCCCGACCTGTGTGGTTTGTGGTGTCTGTCCAGTCTCCCAGGGCTCCCAGCCAGACTGACAGTGATGGCTTTACTCCATCAGCTCCAGGGTGTGAGGCTCCATAGCCTGCTATTGAACTAGAGTTCAGAAAGGCCCGCAGTTTCCAATTCTATTCACAGTTTTATATTTCTGCTTATGGAGGTGGTTGGTTAGTATGTTTTGAGAGTGCCTATGGCTTTCTCCCCTTAAAAGTTTTTTCTAAATCTACTTAATTTGCTTAGAACAGGTTGGAGAGAGCTTCTTATGACACCATTTAATCCAATAAATATTGCTTGTAAAGTGTGCTCACTTTGGCAGCACATATACTAAAATTGCCTGTAAAGTGATTTTCAAAGGCATGTTTGCAAGTACATCTAACACTTGCAATTACGATGCCACGCCCCTGGTAAAATTATTAAATCGATGTAAAGTTTCTCTGCCTGCTCCCATCTTTTTTAAAAAAAAACTCTTTTGTCAGGTGACTACTTAAGCATCGCAAACTACCACTGATTGAAGTTGTTTCCAGTTTTCCAATCAGTATTTTGTTCTTAATATGAGGATAAACATGAGGATGTGGAAATTTGGGGGTGGGCAATGGAACTGTTCTGCATCTTGATTGTGGTGGTGGTTATGCAACTGTATATACATTTGTCAAAACTAGCACAGAACTGTATACTAAACAGAGTTTTACTTTATGTAAATTAAGCATAACTTTTAATGGGAAAAATAAGTTATTTGGTAAATACAGCTTTCTCTGAATTATAGTTTTGGCCCAGTTATGAAATTCATCTCTTTGAGTACCCCTCCTCCCCCCTCAATAATCCACTTAGTCTCTGGGACAAACAAGGGAGACTTCACTGGAGATTTGGTTCGGGAAAAAGAGATTTACATTCCAAATTCCTCTCCGCTAGAGAATTTCTGTGGCATCTTTCCTCTTGCCAGCTCCTTCTCTGTCCCCTAGGAACCTACACTTAGCCTGAACGTCTCTCCCTGGATTGTGAGGAACCATTCAGCTCTCTGCCTTGTGCCCTCAATTCACATTCAAGGTGTAATTGCAAGTATTAGACGTAGTTGCGAACACGCCTTTAAAAATCCTTTTGCAAGTAAAATTTATTGGTTTAATGGTGAAAACAAACATATCGCTGTGCTCAGCGGCTGTCCTCAGTGGCCTTATGGAGAAATCAGGGCTTGGAGGTGAGAAATCTTGAGGCAGCTTTACCCTTCTGTGTGACACAGAACTTAGTATGTCAAAAACAACAAAACACTGTGAACTTGCATCCCTCCTTTATCTCCAGCTTCCACTAGATCCTTTTTAAATATGCTCAAATCTATTCCATCTTTTAAAAATCCTTTGCGCCCCTCTCCACCCAGTTACCAACCCCTTTCTTCTGCTTCATGGCCACATTTTCCAGAAAGGGCTGCCCCTGCTGTTCCTCTTCTCACGCCATCGGCATAATCTCCTCAACGGGCTGTGGTTCCGATCTACAATTTTCATATTGTTGAAAGCAGTGGTCCTCATTTAAATGGACAGTGAAACAACCCTGGGCATTGTGGCTCTAGAAAAACACTGGTCTCAGTTCCCACGCCTGGCTGCCCTCCTCCTCTCCGGCACTTCTTTTCCATCCCCCTTCCAGCTGCTCCTCTGCGCGAATCGTCAGTGTTGTGGTTCTCTGGGTTCTTCCTACACCTTCCTTCTTCCCTTTCACTCTCTATCCCACGGTTTCATTTACCATCTTTTTGCTGATTAAGACCAAAATCTGTATCTGCAGCCCAGCTCTTTCCTCTGAGTTCCAGACTCATCTATCCAATGACCTAGTCCAACTTCGGCCTGGTTACCTGACAAGCCCTCAACCACTAGACCGGCTGTCCCTCAAGCAATGGAACCGCCATCCAGTTAGCCACCTAGGAGTAACCATTTTCACGTTTGGGACATATCTCATCATTCATTCGGCCCTACTGATTCTACTTCCTGGTTATTTCTCAGCTCCTTTTTCCTCATCTCCACGACCACAAGCTTAGTTTTAAGCCACCATAATATCTTCCTAATTGGTCATCCCATACCCATTCTTGTCCTTCTCAAGTTCATTCTTTAAAAGATTAGTCTTTTAATAATGCAAATCTACACCTGTTGGTCTTGTTTAAAACTCTGCAATGATCTCCCCCGGTAAGTACAGTTCCTACCTGTACTTCGTGTAATACATTTTTGATTTGAACAATCTCTTTGCTCCCGTGTTCTAGACTGGAATGAAGACCATGTTCATTACCACGGCCTCCACTCAAATTACACCACCTGAAATATGGGTTCTTTGGCAGGAACATTAGAGCATTTATAAAAGCACAGATAGAAAAATTAACTCTCAGAAATGGTTGAAATGTGTATAGATTGTTTCAGATTTATTCGTGATGAACTTAGTGATGTCCAAATGGATAACTTGAAGCTCAGGATTATCAGTGTTGCCGAACATAACAAACTATGCCAAACTGACAACACTGCCTGGTGTGTTTACTCAGATTATTTCTCAGATCTATCATTAAAACAGCTGACAATTTCTAAGAATATTAATTTCTAAGAATATTAAATGAGAAGTCTCGTATTTTGGCTAGCTGTGGGTTTCAGGATATAAATTGATTCTTCAGAATTACTTCAGAAAAACTAAGAAACCCCAGATGCTTCATATTATGTGAACTTTTAATGGCTCCAAAAGTCTCTCTCCCCCTTTGTAAAGTTAATCTCCCCTCTCAGTCTTTAACGTACCCTTCCAACTCCCTCCAGGATCTTATTCCATTATCTGCTCCCTTGTACCTTTAATATTTCCTTTGCACTCTCCTCAGCCTACAAACCTACTCCTACCTCTACGCCCCGAGCTAAACAATCCTACCATCCTGTCTCTTCGAAATCCTCCCCCTCATTTTCATCTCCAAATTTACTGAGAAAGGCCAACACTTTACTTGCTATTCATTCATCGACCCAATACAATCGTATCCGGGACCCCCCTTTTGCTCCTACAGAAAATGCTCTTGGGACCATCAGTGGTGATTCAATTGCCAAATTCGAAACTCCTCTTCAATTCGCCCTCCTTAAACACTACATCTGATGGGATGGGTTGCCTCCTCCTCTTTTGGGGGTTCTCCTGCCATGCTATTTACACCACTCATCTTTTTGAGCTTTTCTTCTGCTCAATCTTCAAATGTTAGATTTCACTGCTATTTTAACTCCTTTCTTCTTTCCCCATGGTCAAAACTTTAAATACTGTATAATATCAGAAGCATGTGCATCTCAGTGTATTTCATTTAGATTCCAGGACTTTCTCCTCAGTTCTAGTTCGATACAAGAAGTGGTTATGTTCAAACCAGGCTGAACATATTCAGAATGGGAACCGACCCTCTCCCCCCACCTCTGCCTGCCCGCACTCCCTGAAGTTAACAGCATCAATAAATGTTCAGGCTCTCCTCCGCAAGACAGGACACACATGCCTTCCTCCTCTCCAAATCACCTTCCCACGTTGATTCCGGGTTTGTGCCTCATACCGACATGTCGACCTTGGCCCACCTTCCCCATCCCTAGAGGAACAGCCCAGGACAGGCCCAACTTCATTACCTAGAGAACTGACGTTACCTCGTCATCTCTGGTACTTTCATTCTTTCTTAACTGTCTAAAACTTAACTCTTCAATCTTTAAATAAGCCCCTCGAAGGTATCCCACTGACTATACACTGTTAAGTTCAACCCCCAAAATGCTATATAAATTTCAGTCTGGTTCAACATTTCAGTTTCTTCTTTGCTCCATGTTTCCCAGCCACAGTGAACTCCATGGTAGTTTTGGAATGTATTTTCCCATGTCAGTTCCTGCCATTCCCTTTACAGGCATGCCCGTAATTCCCTTTTGCGCCTGAACACTACTCGTCTTTCCAATGTGATCTTCCCTGTGAATAATGTCTTGATGCTATCTGGCAGAACGAATGCTCTGAATGCCATGGCCCCATCATACTTCATACACACTTCACCAATAATTACATCACATCGTTTGGTGACTGTCCCCCTGAGAGTAGGAAGCACAGGACGACAGGAATATCATTCACTCCTGTAGCATGTGGCACATTCAGGCACTCTAGTATTTTGAGAAACTCGATGAAAAATTTCTGTGTAGTCAAGTGAGGCCTCATCTCTTCCAAACTCCCAGACAACACACACGACATAAAATGAAATACTGACAGAAAAAGTTTTGTGAGAGCTTTAATGGCACAAAATGTTTATAGCTACAAGTTATACATGTATTGTAAACTGTATATAATGATACAAAGAACTAACTAAATAGATGAAGAATGCATATTCACTTTGGCTCAGTTAATTCCAATAATTTCAACAATTGGTTCTTTTAAAAACTCATCTGCCTGGCTAAGTCTTCAATTTTCATTTTTAGAATAGTAAATATTTTTACTGCAATCAAAGTAACTTGTTGTACTTTTCAAAGTACAAGTTTGTGCAGTTTTGCTCTTGATCCTATTTACAAATATTTTAAGCCAGTTTTCATCAAACATAAGAAAAAAGAAACCTGCCTTTTCATCCCCAAATTGTAAACAGGTATAAAGCTTTTTAAACATTAATCTTAAAATGTCAACTGTTAATTGTTGGATTCTCCTTTCCAATCACACAATCTGTTTCTGTTCAACACAAATCTTGAGTAGGAGCATAAACATTTACCCCATATGTTAGGGCTATCAACAAATACTGCACAATTTCATCTTATGAGAAGTTCTACTGTGATCATTTAATAGTCCAAAATCTCACAGGTATTTTCAGAAAAAGGGCAGAGTTAAATTTACTTTCAATGTTGAAAAAAAATATCATAAATATATCCAAGTTCAATCACACTACTGACAGAATTGCTACTGCATTTCAAAAGAGAACAATGATGTACTGCCTGTAAAAAGTCGCTCTTATTTTAAGAATAATTTTACTTTTCCTTCCCATGATAACAACTGTAATACAAATTGGATATTATATCAGTTTAGTTATTTAGTTCTCTTAACTTTACCAGCCTTTCCAATTTTATTCAGGCTTTTCAAAATCAGTGGGCCATCAAATTTACTCTTTGCAAAGAAATTCAAATGTGAACACTTGAAATAAATAGGTTATAGAAGGCAAATAGAGTGTTACCAGGTTTAAGAATAAGACAGAAACAAGGTATAATAAAAAGATGTCCAAAATTATTTATCATCAAATGCTAAAAAAAAAAAGTAAAATAATTCAGAAAACTATTTTGGGTATATCATCTTTTTCTTAAAGATACCCAGATATACTCTTGAAAAAAGACAGTCAGAAATTTTTTGTTTAATCTGTATGTTATTTTCCACTATACCACATCAGTTTTACAAAACTTGTTGTGAGAGAGAAAAGAGTTACATAGTTTCTGCAAATTGGCAAACCTGGTTGTCATGGTGTTTTTATTTAAGTCGACCTATGTACTTTAATGAGTAGACTGCTAGTTTTAAAATTAACAATGGTTCTCTAAATATTCAATAGTAATGTCTGTCATAAACAGTAATTATTTATATATAAAACATAATAGTATCCTTCAGAGTCATGCTGTGTGTTCTGAAATCCAATAAATCTACTTGAAATAATTGGTAATCCTGATGCTTTCTAACAATTTGGTCCTAAAGCTTCACATTTTAGAAACAAACAAAGGAAAGTATGTCATTGAAGGAAGTTGTTAAGGGTTCTGGAACTTCAGGAGTTTAGCATAACTGAAAAGATGGCTACAGGATAAAATGACCAGTACCTGCACAATCGCAGGAATCACCTTGGGAAGATCGTACAGTGAACGTTAAAAAGGGAGAAATCAGAAGAAAACAAATGGCATCTTTTCAGAACTTTGTCAACTGTTCCCACAAACCAAGTCTGTTTTTCAAAGTTGCACAAGTGTTTGGAATAACTCTGAAACAATTATCTTCAGAGTTTAAAGGCTTCAGAGTAAATGTGATGCTTCCTAAAACAAGAAGCCTGCATTTATACCACAAACTGGACCTCATTCCAAAGTCTCTTCTTAAGGAAAAAAAAGTTAAAGAAAGTCATGAAAAATTCACATGCAGCTAATCAACATAAAAATACCAAACATACACACAAAAATCCCAAAAGCAATTTCATGTATTTCTAGGCCTGAGACGTTCCTTATCAGAAATAAAGACTCTACACCATAGAAAAGAAAGCATTACAACATACTAGTATTAAAATCTGCTGATGTATTTTAGTTCTTATTCTATTTCATACCTATAATTTATATAGCCCGCCTCCTACAAATTAAAAGGCGCCATTAGGAGGCTTAGACAAAAAGTGGCTCCAAAGCTGGTTTATAATAATTTTTTATTGCCCAGAATATTTTTTTTCTTGTGGCTTGTTTTTTCTTGTTTTCTTTTTTAATAATTAGAAATTCAAGCTTAGGAAAGCTTGCCTTTGTCTTGAAAAACAAAACAAAACAATTAAGCTTTTATATCATTTGCTAAACTCATCTTGTTTTAAGAGAGAGATGGTAGTTATCCTGTAACAGTAAAATTTATACCATGAATGATGCAGGTCTAAGTCTGGTGGTACTAAAAGGAGACAATAGCATTGTTGACAAAATTATCATCTGCTGGTGGCATTTGCGGAAAAGAAGCCCTTGCAAATTTCTAAACAACAGTAAACTCCGTTAGGAAATTCTAAAGTGTCTTACAGGCCAAAAAGGGAATGAGGTTAGTAAAATGCCTCAACAGAGTTTGAATAAAATACTGAATTTGAGAGTTACTGGAGCTTGGATATGTAAAAATAGGGTTGTAGAGGCTGGGTCATGCTTACAATGGTCTCAAGTTCAAATAAACTACTGTGACAATACACCACTTCACAGGTCACACGCTTTTCCAGGGGCTTTCTTTCCTTCAGTAGCTGCTGGCAGAAGGTGTGCTCAGTCGTTTCCCAATATAGATGCTGAAAGCAAAGAAGAATGTGCCATGTTTCATCTGTTTCAACAGTTCTACACACTAGCTTGTCCACAGGTTGAATTCAACTTAAAAACTAAAATTTCCAGTCCTTTCAAAAGGCTCAAGAGGTACATATGTGCACAGTTCCTTTAACACCCTGAAAACATCACCGACTTACTAAAACTAGTCACCAGCCAGCCAAACTGGTTTAATATGACTGTTAACTCATTAGGCAGGACTAGACAGCACAGGGGCAGTGATTAGACAAAGGAAAGCTAGAGAGAATGAATCCCTCCAAAGAGTAAAGCAAAGCCAACCAACCTCCTTTGAGATATTCCTTTATGGTAGACCAAAAGTTCAGCCACATTGACTGACACTTCAGATAGAAAATATAATAACATGACAAATTATAAAGCTGCCAGTGCTTTCTAGAGGGTTCCTACCAACAGTTTAACTTAAGGATTAAGAGCCTACTATTACTTTTCTGTGCCAAGTGTGTCTTTTACCTTTAAATAACATAAGCAAAAGGGAAGTTAAGAGAAATATGGGACTAGCCCCACCCCTGACCCCAGTGTAATAAAACCAATCAACTTTTTAAAATCCTTTTTTATACATTCATCTATAATAGCAGTTAAACTTACACCAGCAAGAGAAACAGTCTGAAGATTCATGAGAGGAAGAGATACTGCAGGGTACAACTATCAACCTCTTGAGAGAAAATGAACTACTGTGCAGTCCACACTACAGGGGAATTTAAACTCCTATCCCTGCCCTGACACCAGCCCCATATGACATTCACATACTCCCTTCCTTCACAAACATCTTCCACTTTGATGTTTGTGATCACTGTCCTCACCATCAAAAAAGGCAGATCAAGCACCCAAAAAGACAAAAGGGGTGTGTGGGAAAGTCATGCATATGTTCCCATGTTCATGACCATGAACATCTTTCTCTAGCGCTGAGCTCCTTAAAAGGAAGATAAGGGATGATGTATCTTTTGCATGGTATATACAGAAAATGACCCATTGGTCTACTACAGCCATGCCACCCTGAACACACCCGATCTCATCTGATCTCGGAAGCTAAGTAGGGTCAGGCCTGGTTAGTACTTGGTTGGGAGACCATCTAGGAAGACCGGGTGCTGTAGGCATAAAAAAATAAATAAATAAAAATAAAGGGGTGTATTCTGATAATTCAGAGTTGCCACAAACCTAACACTGAGAAGTGAATATAAAAAAGACCAATCTTTAAAAAAGAAAAAAAGAAAAGAAAAAAGAAAATGACCCACTGGACATGCTTAGACAGAATAACAGATATGTCATGAAAAAAATTAACGGCTAGTATTTAACTCCTAAAATCTTTCAAAAATACATTTCCTCAATTATTCAAATCAAGCAAAAAATGTAAAAGATACCGGAAATTAATGAATTGCAGGTAAATGCGGGACCAATTTTAGAAAAACAAATGAAAATACTACAAAGAGAAAAAAACAGTATCCTCAACCAACCTACCAGTTTTGTTCAATGACTATTCAATAAAATGATGCATTGTCCCATCTGAGAAAAAACATGCTCATGTCAACTTCAAATTTACACACTAAAGATTAGTTTACTTTCAAATTGAGATAATCTTGTGTAATTTATAAACAACAAATCCCCAAAAGAAAAAAATGAAGAGCCCACTTAAAAAATGATTATTTTAGGAAATTAGCATAACTTTCTCAAATAAGGAAAAAAAGCTCTATGAAAAATATTTTCGTTATACCAATAATATATCAACTTTAGTAATTCTCTTAAGTTCACCCTATTTGCACCAAAATATTAAAAGCAAAACAATACAAACTGCTTTCACACATATTTCTTACATCTAGAAATAAAACATGAGTATAAAATGAATGAAAAAAAAAAAGTAATTGACCAGTACTTACCCTAGCCCCAAAGCCAAAACATGAGAAAGGAAGAGAGATGGAATGAACACCTTAAGAAATTCGGCAGAGAAAATACCACCTTTCTTCATGGCTCCACTTTTCCTCATGCTTAAAGAAACAGAACGTTTAGGGTGCCTGAAGTGAAACTCCCTGGGGGAAGAAATTCAGAAGTAGGTATCAGAAATGCATTTGCTGAAAAAATCTTGGGAATTAGCAGGTCCACTGCATATGCATCCACTGTGTCCACTGAAAAGAAACACGCAAGAACTTACTTGGGTGGAATGTTTTCAGGCCTGCTGGACCAGTCCGACACCCAGTCTACACTTTTCTTCAAAGCATCAACTTCTTTCTCTCCTTCTACAACTTCTTCTTCTGACTGTAAAGAAGAATTCAAACTTTGAAAAAGAAAAAAAGACCAGTTCTTCCTACCACAAAAGATTAAAGCTAAACAGAAAATATATGAAATCATAAGGCTGTATGTATGTACATTAGTAACTTTTATGTAAAAAACATGCGCTTTTTATAAAAAGACTGACAAAATAGTCTAAGATCAGAATATTTAATATCTTAAAAAGAACCTGTTTCACTTTTGTTATATCTAAGCATAGAATGTAAACCTGAAAACTTCAATTATGCCTTAATAAAAAATAATAATAAACCTGGAAAAAAGGTGTTTTGGATATAATAGTAACTAAAGTGTGGAAAATCTTGATAATTGTTGAATCTGGGTGATGCTTATATGGAGGTCCATGGTAATATCCTCTTTACTTCTGTATGCATTTAAAATTTTAGGAGACATGTCAAAGAATATATGCTAACAAATATAAAGTGATGTGAAAAACTACTGGGAGATGTGATGAAGAAATAATGTATTTATTTAAGCATGTATCAAGAGACAAGCATGATTCTAAGCACTTTACATGCATTAACTTTAACCTTGTAATAACCCTGTGAAAATAGAAACTACTAATATTCCATTTTATAGATGAGGAAACTGAGATATATATTAAGTAAATGGCTATGGTTCCATAAGTATTAAAGAGCACGGCCAGTATTCATACCCAGGCAAACTGCCCCCTAGAGGCCCCACTCTTAAGCATCAGGTTTTACTTCCTGAAAGGGAGTAAAATCACTATCCAAACATTGCCCAAAGTTTACTCAAAACTACTTAAGCCAAAAGTTTTTTGGAATAAGTTATTTTATACTGACTCAGAATTTGACATTTTTCGTATCAAATAAATGAAAAAGAAATCCATTTTCTTACTAATGATCACCTAAAGTTTTAGGCAAAGAACAATCAAAATTTCAATAGAACCCACAGGAATAAGAAATTCCTAAGTGACTCAGCATTATTTTAATCGGTTTTAAAGAATGTGATTCTATGACCTTAAACCAAAGGATCTCGAAGCTAAGAATTGTTCTGATTTGTTATTTTGTTAGAATAGGATTCAGCCTTTGATCAGAGCTTCCATTCTTTTCAGTAGGTAGTTATGAAATGTAGAGCCTGACAAATCTCCGTGATTCGTTTCTGACAGGTCTAGTTCCCTGTGGAATAGCTGCCTGGGGAAGGCAGCTTCAGATAGTCCCTTTTATTATCAAACCGAAAGCAAAAATCCCTGTGGATCTTTGCTACTCAGTAGTATCATTCTTATTTAGTTCTGCTGGACTTGGCAAATTCCACTGAATGACACAATTAGCCTTTAGAATTAAGCTTTTCCCACTGGATATTGAGATTACTCAGAATCATGAGTTAGCTCTTTACAGTAAATCTGAAAACATCCCAAATCCAAAAACAATAAATCATTACAATTTACTTATAGGTCAATTTGTGTACACACAATATCTGACTATATTCAACACACTGCAGGTCGCTTCTATTTGGTTTCCATCTCTGGTCTCACATGTCTCTCTCTAAAACTGCTCAAAGTTTTAGGTTTAAATTTGTGAACAGATTGGATATCATACTTTCCAAAGGGAATGAAAATATAATAAGACTTTATGCTCTAATTTTTTTAAGGTGACAGAATTTTCTCTAAGTTGAGTGAAGCAGAGTTATCTTTGGACTATTACTAAAGAAAAAAAAATCTCAGATCAGTTTAGAATGCTTACCTTAAGAATCAGGATCATAAACTCTCTAGCTCTCCCATTTACTACTTACTCCCTGTGCTTCCTTTTATTAATCTTAAATTTGCCAGTTTCTGGTTTTAGATCGTCTTCCAACTCTTGGATTTCCAGAACATGGTAAAAATGCACTTAATCTAAATTAAATAAAAGTCATGCTTTCGACCAAATCGACAACCTTTCTCTACACTTACATCTACTCAGATAGAATATTCTGATTGTTTTAGCCAGTTCTCAAGTGGAAGGCCCTTACCTTCTAATCACTTACATTTTCCTTCTCTGGCCCACCTCAAGTTGTTTAGGTTTCCAAACATGGATAGTAAACTGCATACTGGGGTCCATGTTCAGATACACCGTAGTTTTAAAAGTGGGGAAAGGAAGGCAATTTTCAGTTTCTATCATCTTCCAATGATACCCAACACGATACTGGCCTCTTTGGTCCCAGAAACACACTGTAAAAATGCCTTTAAGAGACAATTACAATCTACTTTCTGCTATAAAACTGAGACACTTGAGGACTATCATCCTAAAAGTATATTTGAATGATCTTTTTCCCAAATGCATTACACACACCTCAGGCTTCCTCATACCGTATTGCAACTCACCAGATGTCTTAGTTCATTCTCTTGACGTTGTGAGCCCTTCTGAAATTGACCCTAATCACTGACTTCTTTTAGTAGAAGGAACAGGGGCCACAAGGCTCAGAGCCCCAGTTTCAACCTTGACTCTATCACTTACTTGCTTTGTGATCTTAGACAAGTAACTAAATCAAAGCTTTACCTTTCCCATTTGTTCATGGAGGTATTAGCTCTTTCAGACTGGGCTGAGAACATTAAAATTGAGAAAATCTTTAGAAAATAAATAAATATAGCACTTATATATAATAAATATTCATGCATTTCCTTCCTCCTCCTAGAAAAGGCTAAAAATGTTACATATTCTGGGTTTAGGCATATAAAAGGCAAGAAGAGCAAGTACGATTAACAGTCCTTTAACTGTTTATGTTTCCTAACCCTAAACTTGCTTCTCATTCAGGAAAAAAACCACCTTCCCGAACTCTAAAGCGATTTTTAAATTATCATTTTTTTCAATTAAAAATAGCTATTTCAAAGTCTTGTTGAAAGTTTAAATAAATTATATCTACTGGTTTCTCCCTCAGTAAAAGTCTTACTCTAAAAGATATAATTTTTTTTAAATTTTTAATTGTTTATTGGGATAATATTGGTTAATACAACTATATAATTTTCAGGTGGACATTATCATTTGACATCTGTATATTCTATTATGTGTTTACCACCCAAAGTCCAGTTTCCTTCAGCTACCATATATTTGATCCCTTTAACCCACTTCGCTCGCCCCCTAAACCCTATGTTTGACCCCCTTTACCCCGATTACCTCCCCACTCCTCCCCCACGCCACTAGTAACCACTTGTCCATAGTCCTCTGGTAACCACTAGCTTATAGTCCCTGTCCATGAGTCTCTGTTTGTTTGTCCTGCTCATTTGTTGCTTTTAGGTTTATATCTCACATATAAGTGATATCATGTGATTTTCAACTAAAGATATAATTTTTTAATAGGAGTTAGACTGCTTTTCCCAAAACATAAACTTGACTGATATGACTTTTAATATCACTTACTCAAGGCTTGATGACAACCAATGTTCTTTTAGGTCCTTGTTTCATAAATAGGAATCTCACTAGCAATCCTATCATAATCTGACACAGAGGGCAATGTCTTACATTTATAACTCTAGAAATCACTTAAAATTCAATTATCAGTTAAACCTAATTGTATACCTGCCATTCCATGAGCTAGGCAGGACAGCACTTATCAAAGAATTCCATTAGGTTATTAGGTAGATTATTAAGAGAAAAAAGTGTATGCGGACGGGAAGGGAGGTCAAATAAATAACTGGGAGATATGTGGTTTAAACAAACATATTTCTTTACTGTAGGAACTGTCAGAGCTTTTAATATGCTGTGCGCTGTGACTTAAGGGGGGCAGTGAGAGAGCCCAGGCACTGCATTATTTTCCACTTATCTGACTTCAGAACTACCTTATTCAACACGTTTTGGAAAATGTTAATCTAGATTTTCAACTTGTCTGTACAAAAGACAATATGGACTGGGGACATCTTCCCTCAGGAAAGACTGCAGCGAAGAATTAATTTCATTTCTCTATCTTAAGATTCCTTAGAACATTTTTGCCATGGAAACATTATACACTCTCTTTTTCATTGTTACAGTTTACTGCACCTGGCAAAATTGACATACGGAAGCCAACAATTCAACAATTCTCGTCAGACATCTTATCTTCCTACATGAGGGCCTTGCTACTACAAGGTATAAAGTTCATCATAAAATAAATTTGTATTCAATCCCATAGATTTTCTCGGTTTCAGAGAACAGCACAAATAGAGCATAGTCAAAGTAGGGAGAAATGATGCGGCCTACTGACACAGAAAGAATACGGGGTAGATCCAAGATAACAAGCAAATCATTTCTAGTGAAAGGGTTTGGGACATTATATTGTGAGAAACCCACAAAACAAAGATTTTGTGAGAATTCATTTAGACATTCACTCACATATATTCTTCAAGTACCTAAACAAAGAAGAAAAAGACAATGGTTCCTTGCACTCTTGACACTTTTAGGTGATGTGGCACATCAATAAAGCGCTGGCTAGGAACATTCTAAATCATTAACCATTATTTACTTATCATAAATTTCACAATATAAGCCTTTATAAGCTTCCAATATGATATCCAACTATATTTCCAACATTAACTCCTAATAGACTATAATTATTTCTTTAACTTCAGAAAACCACATAATTTAGATAAATTTTATCTTGGCTGTTGAAATTCATCTAAAAAGTCATTGCTTTCATTCTGGACACCAAAAAAGTTTAATACCTGGTTCTACAAAACCTTCCTTTTTATTTTGTGACTTTAAATAAGACATGTATCTTCGGTTGCTATTTATAAACTCAAGAAACTAGCCTGGAATAGTGGACTGCTATATTATAGACAAGCATTTTGTAATTATTTTAGGGTGCTGGGTCCCCAAATTCTGAGTTGTAAAGGAGTACAAGGACTACATAAATTCCAAAATCAGAAACTGAATAACTTAAAATAGCCTCAAACTAATTTTTAAAGTCTTCTTATTCTTTAATACATTTTAGCAAAACACAGTTTTGCATTTTCCCTATTTACTGTAAATCAGAAAAATAAATTAACATACACACACACCTGAGAGCTATGGTCCCTGCTGGTGTGCATTTCCACATCAAACATAATTTGCCCATCTTCTTGTGGGGAGGGGCTAGAAGAGAAGAATTTTGCCATTAGTTTTCATTTTCATTTTGTCAAATAAATTAGCCTCTACAGGAAATCAGAAAATTAAAAGTTACAATAGTATGGCTTTGAAAAGGCAGTAAGTCAGAAAGTATATCATAACCCCATACAAGAAAAAATGAAGTTGGACACTCTTACTCCCAAAATGTTCTGATGATAAACTCCTTCACAGCGATAACTTTACATAGGAAATGTTACCTAAACACACAACACTGTCACATTTTCTTACTTTTACTTTTTTTCCAATACAGGTTAATGATCCTTAAATTCAGAAACCTAGTTTGGGGTTCTTTGTCTCAAAGTTCTTTCATCATTAAATAATTCATCACCAGCAGTTCTCGAAGCGTGAAAAGTTTTCAAAGACTCATTCAAAGGAACTTCGAGGTTAAAATTCTTTTCATAATACTATTAGGAGTTATTTGCCTTTTTCATTCTCATTCTCTCATGAGTGTACATTGAGGTCTTCCAAAGGCCCCATGATGTGTGATATTACAACAGATCAAATGCAAAAGCAGACAAGAATCCAACTGTTTTCTATTAAGCCAGATAGTAAAGAGATTTGCAAAAATTAAAACAATGCCACTAGACTTACTAATTGTTTTGGTTATGGAAAAGTTATTTTTCATTTTTAAAAAGTTATTTATGTTAAAATGTGATGGGTTATTATTGAATAAATTAATTTCTCAGTTTTAATTTCTAATATGGTAAATACCAAAATATATAACCCACATAAGCAAAAGATCTTTGGGACACCTAAGGATAACAATTATTTTTAGGAGTGTAAGGAGCATAGAGACCAAAAAGTTTGAGAACCACTATTCTATTTCCTTCAGAAATATCTGCTTCAGAGAGAATTAGATTAGCTTATATATGAATATATAATCTTTAATGAAAAATACAAGATACAGTCCCAGAACTACAAAAATTTAAATAAATTTTTAGACAAAAACACATGATCATGAACTGTACTTCATATAATAGATGAATACAATGTGCTAAGTTCTATTCTTAGCTTTATCAATGATTCCTTGTGTAACCACAGCAAGTATCTAGGTCTTTCACTACACAGCCCACTCCCCAAAATCTAAATTCAAATAGGAATGAAAAAATGCTCCAGGTTTCATTTGCTCCAAAGAATAGATATTAACTATTAAAATTATCAAGAGCATGTGTACACTGTTAATATATAGAGATGTTGGTGAGACTGACTCAAAAATATTAAGATCACCAGAAAAGTATCAGACTGATTATGCCTAGGAGACTAGACTATTATAATTGACACGGGAGATCCTTAAATGAGGACGGAAAAAGAGAAAAGCTGGTTCTGTATCAAACAAACATGTTAATGCGTTTAGAAAATTTTTGTCTTGAACTAGAACTCTCAGGCTATAGCACAGGAACCAAGTAGAACAAAGCACTCTTGTTGTCCTCAGCTTACTGTCATTATGCTCATAATTCGGTTGGGTTCACAATGAGAGATCAAATTAAGGGTCAGCTTTAGACAGCCATGACCAGGTCAAGGCAGCAGCATGACAAAGCTGAGAATCCGAGGAGCACTACTCTGTTCCTACACTCTTCTTTACCACTGGTACCCGTCTCATTCAGAAAAATACTAAACACTTCACTCGTAAACTGTTTACCACTCCTAACAATTTGGAATGCATGAGAGCTTCAACACTGGCTCATGTTAGGATCTTTCGAAATATTCTCATGTTTCTATCCCACCGTGACAAGAGAATAAGGATCTTCAAGGCTGGGGTCTGTGCACTGGTATTTTTAAAATCTCCCTGGGTGAATCTAGTGTTGAAAACTACAAAAGTGTGGAACACAAAGCAAAACTCATAAGGTTATCTTCTAACAACTACCACAGTGACAGAAAAATATGGAATCATTTTTAAATTGAAAGCACACATAAATTAGCTTTGGGACCAATATCCAACAATCCTAAAACCTCTCCATCTATAAGAAACACTTCTCAACAACTTCAAATACAGACGTTCATGCCAATTAAAATGACATGAATTTTGAAGACACTTTTAAACGTTAAAGTGTGTTATGTCCAAGAAGAGTATTACTGAGCTAGAATTCTAGGCCTCCTCTGAAAGATGACCCGTAACCCAGAGCCTGAAGATACAGAGATTGAGGGATAGGAAAGTGTTCAAAAACACTTGCCATAACTCGCTTCACGTCTTTAGAAAGTCAACTTAAACACAATCAGGGGAAGGTGAATTCGGTCACAAAGATAACTGTTACCATAAATGAAATAAAATGACCAGAAAGGCAAGCAGGTGACTTTTTCTCTGTTCAGTGATAGCACCAAGTGAACAGGAGGTTAAGGGGTACACTGGTACCAATGATCAATGGTCATATATACTTGAGTGTATAGAAAAACTCTTATCAACAGGCCCATAAAGAGAAGAAAATTTCATACACCCATCAATGTATTTTGTTTTATTTTTTTGCATTTTTATTGTGCTTCACTTTATCGTACTTCACAGACATTGCATTTTTTACAAATTACAGGCAAGACTCTCCACCAGGAAAAAGATTACGACTCATTTTATTGCAATACTAGCTTTATCATGGTGATCTGACCAAACCCACAGTATCTCCAAGGTCGGCCTGTATAATATAAACTTAATTCTGAAAGACAGACGAATGCTGTAGCTACTGGAATCAATGGCAAGCTGCTCAGAAAAGAGCCATCTGTTCTGCTTCTGCTTATGACTAGAGTCATCCCAGGCTCTTAAGAAGCACAGGGGCAAGTCAGAGACGAGATGGCATGGTGGGGTGAACAGTGTGTCACAGAGCTGGCAAACCAGTCCACTACTGCCCTGGTAACATCAGTGGATCGTAAGACATACAAGAATTTCAAACAAGATTTAACTGTTTCTCTTTTTATACTTTTTCTGATAAGTAATAATATGTGCTATATTATATACACAATTTTTACAAAATACAAAAATATTCAGAAGAAAAATCCGTAATTCCATCCCCTAGAGACAATCGCTGTTACTTTTTAAAATGTTTCCTTAATCTTTTTCCTGTGCATTTGCATTTTTACAGGGCTGATATCTGTTAACTCTTAATTAACCAGAAGATCATCCATACCCCAGAATGCTATCAGTATGGCCGCCACTGGTCTAAGAATTGTTCAACATATCACTGTAATTTAACATCTAGTCCCTCTGAAAAAAAGAGACACTTATATTAAAAAATAAACCAACAGCTCGGTTTCATTCTACTCATACATATCTCTATATTCTTACTCTTTCACCATAGCAGTACTTTATCAGCGGAACTCGGTCTCTTAACTCAAATATAGAAAAATGACGTCTGAAATAAAACTTGCTGAGGAAATGGAATGGTCTTCAAAATAAACTATCTTTTACAGAGCTTGGTTGGTGCTTCCACCGTATAAATACTGCTATAACTTGAATCAACTTGCAGTTCCTACAACACAAACATTCACTGAGTGTCTACTACACGCCAGCACATTAATGTGAGAGTACAAAAGAGATGAAACATGACTCGTGCCTTTTGTAGCCTCACAATCCAGAAGAGAGGACAGATATACACAGAGATAACTATATTCAAAGCAGAATGTGACCTGTGAAACCAGAACATATAAAATGGGAGAAAAATTAATTCTATAAGTAAACATTCATGCCACTGACTTTTTAAACTGATAAACATCTAAAAATGATACAATCTGATAAGGAAGTTGATTTAATCTGGGGAAAACCAGGAGGCACCCAAGTACTTGTCGGTTAGTTCTCTGATTTAAATATACATGCTACAATGAACCAAGAATCTTATTTTGTTAAATGAAGATGTAAGCAACTTACTTTTTCTAATGAGAATTAACCTCGTAACCCGTGTTTCCTGAATTCTACCGAAATGCAGATCTCACTAACCTGTCACAATGAGAACTGCCTCTTGAACTACTCTGTCCTGATTCATGTTGTGCATCCAAAAGAATCTTCTCCATGTCTCCATTGTGGATGGAAGATGAGGAAGGGACATGTTCCAGACCCCCGTTTTTCCCATTGCCATTATCATTGCCATTGGTGCTGTTCATAGGTAACTCCACCCAGGAACCTGTTGAACAAGCCAGATAACTTAAGTTAACCACAGCAGGACCGAAATCTGTCATATGCACACAGATGTGAATATGGGAAATTCAGATAAGAAGTCTGACTCGCCTCAAACCAAATGCAAAAAGTATTCTGAAAAAAATAAACAAGGAACAATAAAAGTCTACAAATCTATATAGTTCTGTTCCTGAAATAGCTCACACAATCAACCAATTTACAAGAAGCTGAAACTCTAAAACCAGTATCTTAGAAAACATGTCTTTCTGATGATTTCCTCTTTGGTTAAAGCAGAGTTTATAAATACAATAAATACTTTACTGAAAACTTTTAAGTTGCTTTTCAAGAAATAAAGAGCTACTTTATTTCTAGGCAGGTTACTTACCTTTAATATTTTAGTTATATATATATATATATCTCTCTATATATATCTATATATATATATATCTCTCTGTATATATATCTTTTTCTATAGTCTACTTCAGCTATTTAGTTGTATCTTCTCCACAAATGAAATAAACATGACCTAAAAACTTCATAGTCATCTAAATAAGTTAACACTATATTTTAATTAGCACAAAAAATTGAGAACCACCTAGAGAAGAAACTTAAATGCAATCGATAACTTTCAATTTGTATACAAATCTGGAGCATAAAATCAATGCGGCTGGCTCTCAACTAAATCAAGTGATAACCCTAAAAATTCTGAAAAAAGATTTACCTATATCCCACAAATTAGTTTTTTCCTTTCCTCTTTACCTCACTCTCTCTTTTCTTTCTTTATGCACTAAACATACCTTGTGATCTTGTCTTTTCTCTCTTCTCTCCCACAAGTTCCTATTTTCTAGTGTTTTCATTAAGCCTCACTGGTTTGGGGGAGGAGAAACAACTGCGGACCTGCTACAGGAGACACTGACGTTTTCTCAGGGGAACAGCTGAAGGGGGTGGAGCCACATGAAAGGGGATGTGTTCCTGGCAATTTGGTTGGGTCTCGAAAATATTTACTGGCTCAAAGAGTTTGCTGAACACATTAAGGTGTTTTAATTTGAATAACAATTGGTAACAGTAGCCAATGAGCCAACTTCACAACAAAAGAGATAGTATATTTTTTTCGTTAATTTCCATTCCTTATAGATTTTGTTTTAGAAAATGTAATCAAGCAGGTTGATGGGGCCATTCCTCTAATCCTCAGCAGAAGTATTAGAAGGAGTTCTATGGCTGAACAGTCTTCCATCAGTAAATAAGAATATTTACCAAAAGAGGCTAAAACCTAAAGACATTCTAAATGAGGTGATGACTATTCCAGATCTAGACGTGAACTCAACATTACCTTTAAGTGAAGGAAAAGCTCAAAGGCAGACCTGGCTGGAAAACTGACCCCACCCCTTACTATCTACCTGACTTTCCAACCCTGAGTTACCTAGTTGTAAAACGGATGATAACATAGTACCTACCTCCCAGGGCTGATGTCAAGATTAAATATAGGAACATAAGTATCTAGTAAACAGTAGACACTCAGTTACACACCAGTTAAAAGTTTTTAATTTGTAAAATACTTAGAATGTGTTTGCTAAATAAAACTGAAGTTACTCTATCCTCCTTCCTTTCCTTTTAAGGCAGTCCTGGGGCTGTCACAGTGCCATAATCAGCACCAATTCTTTGGGACTATACTGCCAAACACATGGTCTCATTCTATATACAAACAAAAATGGACACAGGCTAGACAGACCTCAACATGGATTAACAAACTCATTTAGCAAAGCTAAGATAGCTCTAACACTGAAGGTAATTTAACTAAATCTTTGGAGTGCCTCTGGAGTGTCTAAGAAACATTCCAAAAGCATCCCTAAATTCAGAGCTCTACAAAATATTTTAAATGGAAAGAGAGACAGAGCAAGAGAGAGGTATATTATAAACTGTTCTTTTCAACTCGCACTGTTCCTAGCATTTTCAAACTTATTTCAAACCAATAGGACCAATCCTTCTTGTACAGAAGCCCGATGTATAAGATAAAAAGAAACAAATAAAAGGCTGGAGCTGCTCTGGCAGAAGCACAACGAAGGAACCAGGAGTTCCCAGTGGGTCTCTGTAGAAGCCAGTCTTCCATAAATACAATTGATGTTAACTTGAAGTAGCTGATCAAAGAGGAAAAAATATCGGATTCTTTGCACCTTACTTTCTTGAAAGATTTCCAAACCAATTCTATTTCCTGCATTAAAAATATGTAAGCAATCATAGCCTAGGTACTTGAGAAGACATACCTAGAAAAGCTTAGTAAAGTAATCTCTGTTAATTGCCTTAAACACTCAGCATTAACTGAAGGCATTTCCACTTAAGGCAGACAATATTTTTTTTGGCATATATTAGTATAGTGGTTAAGAGCACAGCCTGAAACCAGACTCCCATTCTATCACTTATAGTTGTTACACCCTTGACCTGTCAGTTTTCTCATCCATAAAGTACAGATAATAATTATCTACCTCATAGTGTTGTTAGGAGGATGAAATAAATACAGCATAGGACAGGTGCCTAGTATGAGGCAAGTGCTATGTTAGCTATTATAATTATACTCTATCTTGTAAAAAGTATTTATTAGAAAAATGATATTTCTTAAAAATGCAAACATCAGTACATAAATTAAAAATACCTCTCCTCCCAATCTCACATTCCTATCCAAAAAGAAATCACTTTTATAACTTTCATAAACTTCTAGAGCTTTTACAAGAACACGGAATTGTATTGTACGTATTTTTCTATAAGTAGAGTTTCTTAACTTGTAGATAGATGTCTTTCAATGTCAATACGTACTGCCTTAACTTCATTCCTTTAAACAACTGCCTTGCATCCCATTATAAAGATATACCATACTTTAACCATAATCCAAATGGCAATGGTTAACCATTACCCAAATTATTGTTTCTAATATTATGTTATTAAAATCAAGGCTTCAATGGAGGGTAATTTGGTAATATATATTAAGAGCCTTAAAAAGGTAAATTTCCTTTAACTCAATAATTATCTTCCAAAAACATCATCTATGGAAAAAACAGTACTGCAGAGAAAGTTACGCACACAGATAATTAAGAGACTATATATCAGCTTCATCTTTTGAGAAAAATAGGAAAAAAAGCAAACTTGTCTTTCTCAATAGATGAACTACACATGCCTTTTTCTCATCACCTAGTTGACTCCTGATTTACAGCCTCAAAATTTCTTGATGTTCTAATTCTACCAATCCTAAATTCCTTTTTACTTGGAAAGGAAACAACGTAAGATATGAGGATTGTGCTGTCCAAGAAACACAAAGTAGAATAAAATCTCAAAGCAAATTCTCTTCCTAATAATCAAGCTTTAAACTTAAAAACTGCAGGCTCTTATTAAAAGCCTACTTACAAATTGAAAATTGTTCTCTTATGCCAGATTGCACATATACACAATACATGAGATATTTTCTAGCTGAAGCCTTTGAGAATCGCTAAGAGATTCAGAGAAGCATGCTCTGACATTCTCTAATACAGCACATCGTGAAGGTTGGTCCAGTGATTGTGATTATATTTCTGACTGTATGCTGTATACACACTTTATAGTTTTATAATCGCCAGTTAGATCTTCTTGCAAGATGGGGAGTGGGAAACCTGGGAGGTGGTGGAAGGAGTAAATGAAGACGAGTACTATTTCTAATCTCCCCCTGCCCCGTACACAAGATTTCAAGGCCTCACATGTCACTCTGACCCTAACCTGGTTACACATTTCATTATGTCTTATCTTCATTCCTTAAAGCCTTTAATTTATTTCAAGTACCTGATGCTGGAATCCAGACCATAAACAGTCACAGACATTCTTATAAAAAAGTTGGTCTTTTTGCACTAGTAGGTACTTAGACACTAGTTACGTATGTATTTAAAACAGTATTATGAGGCAGTGAAGTTTCACATGTCATAACCTTAAAAGACTCTTGCCATGCTAGGGAAGCAAGAACATCATGGTAG